CACAGATAGATAGACAGACAGACCGACCGACCGACCGACCGACCGACCGACCGACCGACCGACCGACCGACCGACCGACCGACCGACCGACCGACCGACCGACCGACCGACCGACCGACCGACCGACCGACCGACGACCGACCGACCGACCGACCGACCGACCGACCGACCGACCGACCGACCGACCGACCGACCGACCGACCGACCGACCGACCGACCGACCGACCGACCGACCGACCGACCGACCGACCGACCGACCGACCGACCGACCGACCGACCGATCGACCGACCGACCGACCGACCGACAGACAGACAGACAGACAGATAGATAGATAGATAGATAGATAGATAGATTTTTTTTTTTACGTATCCAGAAACCATGAGTTGTAAACCCTTTGGCTCTGTGCTATGGATATCGCAACCCTTCGGCATTGATTTCATTATAGGTACCGTTTAATCTGGGAGAAATGTGGCTTTTCTGCCCACCCCCGGGAGTGAACCCGGACCACAAGGAGTTCGTCTCCCGGCCGCCGCGAAAGTCAGGTTTAACCAACTTCGCTAGAGAGCCGGGCAGACAGACAGACAGACAGACAGACAGACAGACAGACAGACAGACAGACAGACAGACAGACAGACAGACAGACAGACAGACAGACAGACAGACAGACAGACAGACAGACAGACAGACAGACAGACAGACAGACAGAGAGAGAGAGAGAGAGGGAGAGGGAGAGGGAGGGAGGGAGGGAGGGATGGATGGATGGATGGATGGATGGATGGATGGATGGATGGATGGATGGATGGATGGATGGATGGATGGATGGATGGATGGATGGATGGATGGAAGGACAGACGGACTGGCGGACGGACGGACGGAAAGAGAGAGAGAGATTCAAACACATGACCGACATACTAGCAAGCCAATGACTGCGCTACAGTAAGCCACACTTCACTTATCACTGACATCTACTGTAATAGTTCTAACGTTCTCATGTGTGGAACTTACGTAAAGAGTCATTGAAGTGCGCTAATTTACACGCTGTTATTTCACTTACGAGATGTAATGTTCAGCTCATTTTCGGCAGCCCAGCAGAAACTAATATTTACGTAATGAGTACCATTTGAAAATGGCATTGAGAATCTCGCTATTAACTCTTTGTGAAGGTAGCGTTAATTCTTAGAATACCAAGGACTAAGAAGAATAAAAACATCGACATCCTACATGACCTGCGCACTGAGGAAAATTGGCTCATAGACAGCATCCTGTTCAGAAAGTTGAGCTATTTTGGCCGTGTTGAACGTCAGGTCATTGGTCATCATAGCGAGGACGGCGATGGGATGTGCAGTTTCAGGAAACGACGCAGAGGCAGACCTATGCGAAAGTGGATAGACAACATTGAAATGCATTATGTAGGAAAGCACACTGGGCTGGAGTATTGACTAGAGAAAAAAATGTGTGCAGCCGTGCGGTGACAAGAGCAACGTTCTGTAAAGGACCTGCCTATTGGCCATACTGATAAAGGTAGATGTGATTCTATGGCAGCTACTGTTGAGAGTAGACAGTATAACATACATTTTGGGATGAAGATAAAATAAAGATGTCTGCGTAGGTGACTTTGGAAATAGAAGTAAAGACATGGCAGTTTAAACATCTCTATAGTCCCATATCAAAGCACGCGCAGAACGTCATACTTACTCAGCCACCTACAGCAAAAACGTTAAAATTATCTATAATAAATCACAAACCTTTCTGTATTTCGTGTGTTAATTTTAAATGAACTGTTAACTCCTCCTAGATATTGGCCAATACAATGGTTATATTTTCAAATGACAATATGATCACAAGGTTCAATTTAACAGTCACATTGTCAGCGAGGTTATCGTGCATTTCTGTTATTTATTGCCACAATCAGTACAAGTAAACATTTGCTAGAGTCATTTCCCTTTTAATAATTTTTCTCTTACATCCCTTGAATTGCTTTTTTTCATTGCATTTCTTATTGATCTCCCTTAAAACGTAGACTGTAGGATAGAGGTATTAGTGGAGGTGGTTGCTTTATCAATCAGACTTTGGGGGCTGCCAGCATGCCGAATTTTAACCCTGAATCATGACCTGAGTCATTGCTCAATCACTTCAAAGGGACCCTAAGGTGGTGGCACAGCTAACTAAAGGAAGAACTAGCCTGACTCTGGTACCATGACACCCCGGTCCGTGACTCATAGGCCATTTCCCACACCCTCTAACAATGTATTCGCTACAGAAACCTCAGAGAATCACCACATTCACTGAAATGGGACATGGATTGGTTTAGGAAACGAAGGCGTCCAAGAGAAACTTAAAGACAGAAGGCTCATATTGTGCTCGCTCCTCCGGGGGAGTTTCTACTACATATACGGCAGCGGTGGAGATCAAGATAAGAATATACCTTTCTTTCACTATCTCGGGCGAAGCAGAGCAATTAAATTTAGTTATCGATAAAATAAACTTATGTTTCCTGATACCTTCAACAAAATTACTTTTCTCATATTTTTACTCTTTGAGTCCCAGGCTGAATGCTACTTAATTTCATTATGTGCTAAGAATTTTTTTTTTTTTAATTAATAGATGCTTAAATCTGAAGTAGGTAAAATAATGACACCATGAGAAGAAAAGATATAAAGAATTAGGTAAGGTAAAGTAAATTGACGTAATTACTGGATGGGGGAACAGAAGGTTCACAATACTATATACTGTAAGAAAGTTAAACAAACGCATGGGGAGTTGCTTGGGACTGGGTAAGTTAAAAACCACACGATGTACAGCAAAGATTAATTAATACAAACGTCAGGACAATCTGAAAACCTGACAAAAACAAAACAAATTCAACATATAAATTGTAATTAATTAATTCGGATGCAAACAATTCATTCCACAGTTTCTTGCCTGGTATATATCGTCGAATCTTGTCAGGCTAAACAGTTACATCAAAATAAACAAATAACAAAGCAAACAAAATAAATCCTGTCCACTAAAATAGACAATCATGTTTTCTTGTCTAGTTACACCGTACATCTCACTAACGGAATTTCTCGCTATAGGTTTACATTCCAGCCTCTCTGTTATGAAGGATAAATGGATGTTCCAGAGAGCCACATTTTCACAGAGTTGTAAGATTCATCACGTGCTATATTTACAAGAAGGAAGTCGCCGTGGCGGAGCGGTTAGACGCTCGCTGCGGATCAGAAGGCCGTGGGTTCGCTCTATAGCGGTGCCGGACTTTTTTTCAATAATGACGGCTCCCGGGTCGACCCAGCCTTGAGTGGGTACCGGGTACAGTCCTGTGAAGTAGAGGGGGCCGGCTTGATGCTGACTACATCACCCAACTAAACTTATCGAAAGCTGAACTATGTTGGCCCCATATCAAGCCTCATGGCGGAAAGGAAAAAATATCAACAGAAGATTTGGTACCAGGAAGGAGGGACAAGGACTGACCAACATGAAGACGTGCACATGATATAGGTGACTCCTTAGATATGAAAGAGCACGAGGCGGGAGAGCTGGCGAGAGACCGAATTTCCTTCAGACAGACCTGGATGAGAGCGACGTTCTGCAAAGGACCTTCTACATAATGTCGTGACCTTATGTTTCATTTTCAGTATACGGATTTCTAGAAATACAACAACAGAGGTGGTCGAAATACGACAGCTGTACTGTAGGTAATCTAAAGGACCCAATCCTACCCCTTGGAGCCTTTGGGTGTGTTGCGCCAGAATATCTCCCAATGCTTATTTTAAGTTGTATAGATCTGCGAACACCCTACAGACATTCAGCATGTTTACATGTAGCTGATTATCAACTGTGCTACCTGATAAAGAGGAGATTAGGAAATCTATGAAAGCTATCAACCCCCTGAAGGATGGGAAAGGTGCTGGTCCACATGATATCCAAACATAACTTATGTTATGTTATCACAATCGATGTCTTTGCACATTGGGCAGCAGCCACTTCAAGGTACCTCTACTTATTGTTCCCATGAGGAATTGGTTATAGTAGCTTCTGTCTTTACCTCTATGACGGCATAGTCGTGCTTCACCAAGCTTAACTTCTCGGTCACGAAATCGTGTTAGCTTCAGAGATTCGCCACTATCTCCCAACCTAATCCTTACGGCGTTGATGATATCAGCTCTGTCCATGATTTTTCTCATTTGCATTGTGCATTACCTGCCAGCTGGTCAGCTCTTTCATTACCATTTACTCCTGCGTGCCCAGGTGTGTAGAAACATAACTAATAATGACAGTGTCAACTTGTCTTCAGTTACTGTGTAAATGATTTATAAACATCTGAAAGACTGAAGAAATATCAGCAGATTAGAGAAGGGGTGATACCTGGGGGAAATGCTACACACAAAAAAGACGATCTAAGGAGTGTTTCAATTCTACCACCGAAACCGCATTTTTTTGTATACTGTAGTAATATTTGGCCAGCCGAAATGACATGCAGTAGACGTAGAGTTACTTGCTCACTAGATATGATCTACAAGTTAGCAGAGCTAGCTATTAATTACCACAAAATTTCCCACTTGTGGTAATTCAACTCAAGGCCTAGCCTGGCCATGCTTTAAGTGACTCAGGTCCTTCAATGGGAGTAAGTGTGCCAAACAGGCACATTCATACAGGGGAAATGTGACGGGAAGTGCACTATAAATCTCGAGGATGTTGGCAATTTGGTCTTTGAGTTTATCGTCTACTTTGTGGCGAACTTCACGAACACTGTCCATTTCTTGTGTAACTTGTTTCAGAAGGCCGTTTGCAAATGTGAAAGTTTAATATTACAAGTTGGTATTTTGAGTGTTTCTGTTGCTCAACACATAAAAGGGCGGGAAGCACTATGTGAAAGCTTCTGATCGGGAAAAGTGGAATTACTGTGATCACTTCTTGTGAACAAAAAAGAAAACAGGAAAGATTACTGTCAAAAGATTTACTATACGGAGACAAGATTGTTTTGTTTCCTCGAAAAAAGATGTCTTCCGAGAAACCGATATATGCCGTACCAATGAAATGCCGGGGAAATGATTACATCCGGATTGCCAACAAAAGGTTAGTTGCACGAAGAAGAAATTCTGCTGCGAGAGCGCTATTTTATTTCTTTGTATAAACTCATATAAACTAATTTCTGTGTACTTGTGTAGCATTTTTATTTGTAACTTGGAAAAATGTAATTTTTTTTGTGCACCATTCCACATTCTCATTGGACTGCAAGTTACCGCATATTCGCATGGATGCCCGAATGTGACAACTCACCCACACTGGACCACAAGGGACCTCCTAACCATCCCCTGGTATTCAATACGGCTGTGTTGTATGACCATACAGTTGAACGGGGTTTTCGGAACTTTACCATCCTCGAGCTTTTAATCCTGTAGATTGTAATCTCCGGGTTGTGGGGTTGGGTTAAAAAAAAAGGTGTGTGTGTGTGTGTGTGTGGGGGGGGGGGGGGGGGGTCCTAATATCTGCGTTTGAAGGTTGAACGGAGTTTCTGGGAAATTGCTTTTATATGATTGTCCCCGGTAGTTGCTATTTTACTGACATCCTGAACTGTGTAAATAAGAACAACAACATTTACCCAATTAAAAAATATTTATGTGGGACAGCAGGAGTTTTATTACAAGCTCAGATGTCATTACTGAGGTTTTGAGGTTTTGAACAAAGGATCATCAACATCATGGCACAAGTGTAGTAACCCATATGTGCTTCCCTCTTTTTGTAACTCAAGTCTGAAAAAAATAACCAATAATATGCTCAGTTATTTTTCTGCTCGTCTAGCCCCGGATATTTGCCGAAGGAAGCATTTTACTTAAATCTTGCCGTCCTTTTAAGGATGCAATTTTCCGTTATTTGAAGCTCTACTCTGGCTCATGCCAGGGGCCGCAATATAGCCCGGCCATAAATATGGCCCAACGGCTGAACGCGGTTTCTGGGACCTCTCCACGGTGATCCTCACCCACGTGGTGGCACATTGTGTCATCGGGTGTTTATCGCTTGTGTGATGTCCTGGTGGAGTAGAAAGTCAGTCAGTCAGGAAGCATTCGAGTTCTCAGCAGTGGGCACACATATACCAATACAACATCCTGGTAATCGTTATCAGTCCTGGATTCCCTCTATCTTCCTCTTCTCGTTATCCATAACGGATTCTGTAGGACAATTGGGTTTTCAAACATCAAGGAAATTTCCTGGTTAACTCATCTACCATCATCACAAGCACTACATCTTAGAAGATCACCTACAAGAGCAAGAGAACGGCAGTGAAAAAATATGGATCGACAACATTAAAGACACTCAATGCCTTCACAGCATGACATTAGCCAGTGGCAGCCAGTGTGCACTGGATCGCAGATTATTTCTCTTGACGACACTCAGCGGCAGAAGTGGTTATAATGATGACCTCCTTGGAGGATAGGCCCTCAACCAACTCGTCCTAATACGCTCGATCTCTTCCCATTAATTGTAGCTATTCTTTTTTTTTTTTTTTTTTTTTTTCGGAAATTACCACATTACTATCCCAAGAAAGTCATCACGAAAGCCAAAAATTAAACTCAAAGATCTGATGGTGAGGCCCCCAGGCCAGTGAAATCACAAACGCTAACTGTGGAAGAGAACGATGGCAGAGCAAGTAAGGGTCCGACGGTGCTACAACAGAAAACTCTTGTCTCCGCTCTAAAGAAAACTTCAAAGTAAGGAACATGGAATGTTAGGAGCATGTATCGAGAAAAATTAGCATCGTTGGCAGAGAACTAAAAAGGAATAAAATAGATAGCACCAGCAAGGAGATCAAAATTCGAATTTTGAGAGCATGCATCTTTCAGGTGGCTACATGCGGATGTGAGTCGTGGACTATCTCTCAGTCCTTAAGAAAGAGAATAGGACATTTTGAGCTGAAATGCTGTAGAAAGATTGTCAGAACATCTTAGATAAAGAAGAGGAGAAATATTGACATCAGGATATAAGTGACTCCTTGTGTATGAGAGTACATGAGGCGGGAGAGCTGGCGATAGACCGAGTTTCTTTCAGGCAGACTGTGATGGGAGCGACGTTCTGCAAAAGACCTGCTCCATAATGATGATTCTTTGTTCTCGCCATATTATGAATCTGTGTCTCACGTGACCATACGTCCGGTTTCAGTGGGACAGTTCCTTTTTTCCCCGGTGTGTCCCGACGGTAGTCAAAATGTATTATTTATTGTTAACATCAATTGTCTAGCTTCATACAATTCCAGGAATACGCTCGAGAATACAACACACACTTATAGTTTGAGGTTTCGACAACGGATCCAAATCACGGCTCACGGCCTCTCTCTCTCTCTCTCTCTCTCTCTCTCTCTCTCTCTCTCTCTCTCTCAACGCACAACGACCAACCACTTTCTGAGAGCGTCGGTCAGAGCTACAGATCCGTAGCTCCAGAGACGATCCCAGAGACCTCCGCATAAACTGTACTCATGACTGAGCGACGCGTCCTTGAAACTAACCCGCCACTTTCTGAGAGCCAGGCAAACAGCTTGAAATGCGCTACCGTGTTGGTGACATGTCTGGTTTCAGTTTCTCAACTCTGTACTAATAATCTGTGAAAGTTCAAGAGGTTATCTCCAAAACTCTGCCATGTTACAACCTGTTTCCGGTAAACAAAATGTAAACAACTGGTCTAAAGGTCGTTCTGTGGTTTTACAGTACGGCTTGTCATGAAGTGCGGCGTGGACAATGATTCCCCATACATACTGGGCACACTGGGCACATATCTTTGCTGTACTGACTTCACCATCATATATCAGTATAAGTATTTTCGGGTGGCTGCTGCAAGTACTTCCATGAAAAGTTTCTTGGGATTAAACAGCATTAAAAGTCTCTGGTTAAGCACCAGCAAGGAGATCAAAATTAGAATTTTGAGAGCATGCATCTTCCCTGTGGCTACATACGGATGTGAGTCGTGGACTATCTCTCAATCCTTAAGAAAGAGAATTGGGGCTTTTGAGCTGAAATGCTATAGAAAGATGCTGAGAACATCTTGGACAGAGAAGATAAATACTGACATCTTGAAAGATCTGAACATCAAAGAACATTGGCTAATAAACAGCAGCTTGTCTCGGAAGCTGAAATATTTTGGTCATATCAAGCGCCACGAGGATTGGGGAAAAAATAGCAGAAGGCATGGTACCAGGAAGGAGGGGCAGGGGCCGACCAACACAAAGATGGGCACAGGATATAAGTGACTCCTTGAGTATGACAATACATGAGGCGGGATAACTTGCGAGAAACCCAGCTTCTTTCAGGCAGACTGTGATGGTGCGACGTTCTGCAAAGGACCTGCTACATAAGGATGATGATGATGCAGGTACTGAACACTCATGCGAATGTCCGAAGTGCAGTGGGCTCGCTTGTAATAATAAAACATAACATAATGAATGTCATTATTGTTGTTAATGATATCAAGACTGTTAAGCAATGTGCTATCCCAGTATAGACAAATATGGTGACGACACAGCGACAGTCTAAGATGGCCGCCACACTTTTGACATGTATCAAAGAAGAGCAGCGTTCTCTTGTCCATTTTTTTTTTTTTTTGGGTATCAGTGAAGGGGTGAAACATAAGGGAGAACGAAGGTCCAATGTGTTGATGTCTGCCTGTCTGTCAGTCCAGCGAGTGGGTAACTTGAGTAGGGCGTTTCAAAACTGCGTGCCTTCTGTGACAGACTGTTCACGACCGTCTCTCACACACCCATTAATGATCCCAGAGTTCATTGCAGCCGTTGAAGAACTCGTGCAGAAAACCGCCGATTGACTGTGACAGTAATAATGTCCATTCTTCATTCGTCGATGAATTTATGTAGTTACTGCCTCCCTGTGTTTATTTCCCCCTGTTGGTTCACAAAGGAACTCTCTAGTTATTTCGCCCCTTAGCTCACCAGAAACCCGAAAAACAAGCTCCTGTTTCTCTGTGAAAGAAATCAAGTACACTTGTAAACACTTTGAGAAACGCTGAAGTTAAATATTACCGATAAGCAACCGGATTTTCCTGGGTTGTATTTTTAAGAAACCTATCTCCAAACAGTGTCCCCTAGACATCATTGTTCTGCGAACAGGCTGTGGCTACCCTGTCTACTAGGCCACAGTTCGCTCCTGCACATGTTTGCCGTACGTGTTTTAGCTTGGCAATTGTATATTTGTTATTCATCCACTATATGTGTACTCAAATGCCCTGTTTCGCGGGCACCTTTTCATCTAAACGATTTGTACAGGAAATCGACTTTTGTTGCGTACAATCAGAACGTGCGATGCGATTGTTTGTTGGGTTCACAATTCTCATAATTATTCTTCCTGTGTTTATACCAACATTTATCGGTCTCAAAGTGCTTATGTTACTTGTTATTGTTTTGCATTCATTGCGACCTTCAATCCGTTATTGGAATGTGACAGGAGAGCGGTTTTCCAGCCTGATGTGTCCAGATTGTGGTGTAAAAACCTGAAGTTTTCACGAGGATCGAATACGTGCTCTAGCTTGTTAAGAGTGGACAACCCAATGGCTCAGCCACTCGTTCCTAAACAGAGACTTCACATATGCTAAATAATCAGTACATCTCGTCTACGTTATGTCGTCTGCGTAGTCATCCTTCAACTCCTTCTCTTTCATCACCAGCTTCTTCTTCTTCTTCTTCTTCTTCTTCTTCTTCTTCTTCTTCTTCTTCTTCTTCTTCTTCTTCTTCTTCTTCTTCTTCTTCTTCTTCTTCTTCTTCTTCTTCTTCTTCCTCTTCCTCTTCTCCTCCTCCTCCTTTCTTACCCCCCCCCCACCTCTCTCTCTCTCTCTCTATATATATATATATATATATATATATAATATATATATATATATATATATATATAATCTATATAATATAATCAAACTTTGCGGAGAGCAACTAGATCTCAAGGTCTAAAGAGAATGGCGCTGCGAGGAGTTACTAGGAAATCTGGCCGACGCTCAACACTCAAGGGAAATGCGAGGCGGATATACAATCAGACAGTTACTGGTGTCATCGTAACTTAATCTATGCGCTTGCTGCTGCAGACAAG